CATGCAGTCAGTTGTGTACACAGTAGTGAGTTTTCTTATTTGTGATAATACTGTATAAAACAGTGCAACATTTGTGATTTCTGACAATATGTAATATTTTTCTAATGTATTTTTTTTTGGAAAATGTTTACCTTTTGAAAAAAGCTGCTGAAATGAAGACAATGATAATTGGTCATGTGAGAAACGCAGTGTTTTCACTTCACAATAAAAGTCACGGTGACCTTTTTCACTTCAGTTGTTCCTGCGACCAACCAGCACCTGATCGCTAACATTGGCTGTGCATGGGGAGTTTTGTTCACAATCCAAGTAACTTTTAAGACAGTGGCTGCAGCAAGAAAGTGAAGGCTTATGCTTGATTGTAAAATATAGTAACTCTTGGAAAATATTGAAAATCAAAATCAGAGAAAGTGGTTGGTTGGAACCCTGTAAGTGTGAAACATCCAACTTACAAATTCAAACACAAACTTGTTTTGAGGCCAATTATTTAGTTAACTCATTAGTACGTCACAAAATTACAAAATTACTGTGCAGCAATCATGTAATTTTTTTTTTTTTTTTTTTTAAACAAAAATTCAAAAGGTAGCAGCTTCTCAAATGTGAAAATGTTCTGTTTTTCTCTGTCCATGATAATAGATTTAATATCTGCAGGGTTCGGACTCTAAAAGCCCTAAAAAAAAATAATCGGCATAAAGCTACAACTTGTAATTATTTTCAATTATGTCTATCACAAGGTCCATGCCGGAGGTGATGTGTTCAAATATTTTGTTTTGGCTGAGCAAAAGTCCAAAGATATTCCAGTTACAACTATATAAGACACGGTTGAGACACAGGAACAAGTGGATATTTGAAATTAAATTACTTAAATGGTCAAGCCATTAATCACTTTTAGTTTCTCCGAAATCTCCTATCTCAAGTGCTCCCCTTAGTGATCAGTTTGAAGACACATCCTGAGCAGAGGTGACCACATCTGTGTGTGGCTGCAAGGAGGGAAAAAGCCCCGGGCTGTGGAAGAATGCTACTGTTCCGCTCCCATCCATCAACAATTTATTTCAATCCTGAGTGATTTAGACCCATTTGGGTCTCCTGTGGATGCGCACACCTGTCATTTGCATAATTAAGCTTTGGAGCAGTTGTAAAAGACAGCCATTTTGTGTATTAAATTCACACCTTATCAATCAGGGGCGGGGGGGGTGTCGAGATGTATGAAGACCTCCTTACTCTTGGCTTCCTGGCTTCATTTGAAATGCTAAATGCGTCTTGTTTTTTTCTTCTGCAGCCCCTGGAGCTGGGTCTGGTTGCCCGGGCTGCCTGGTGGCTTCCATAGATGTTAACTGTCGTGGTCAGACCCTGACTGCTCAGCCCCTTTCCTCAGGAGGGGCTGGAGGGGGTGGGGGGTGGGGGGGGCTCAACCATCAATCAGTCTCCAACTAACTTCTGTCCAACTCTCTGACAGTCAAGATGGATGGTGCCAGCTTCTACAGGATGCTGTATCCTCTCATTAATTCTCTTGTTAGCATGCACTGATAGCAGCAAGATACCGTCAGTTTTATCTGTTTTCCACCAGATAGAGGGCTCTCCCTTTTCCTTTTTTTTTTTTTTTTTTGGGCGAGGGTCAACAGTTAATCACGTCGCAGCCACTGGTTATTTAGTACCACAGTGATCCGATGTGTCAAAATCGGACAACATACATTCCCGGGATTGAGCGGAACAAAGAGACCAGTGTCCTCCCACAAGGGCCCTCTCTCTGCCTAAACGACTCTGTGGCTCCATTGCCACCAGTAGCCAGCGCTAAACAGGACCAGAGGATGAATGGGCGCTATTTTCACAACACGCACTTCTTCGCAAAATGAAGGCCGCACAAGGCTGCCGGGGACACTTCAACTGGGCCCTTTTCTTTTTTTTTTTTTTTCCCCCTCAACACCCATCGCGACTGAGGCCCGCCGAACACAGCAGGCGGAGAAGAAGAAGAGTGACATTTACTGCCACAGGCCGCCACACAAAGAGTTAAAGAGAGACAGAGGGGGCGAGGGGCGTAGGGGTGAGAGACAAGGGGTCCCTCATCACTGACGGTGATGAATGAGAGGATCACAACACATTTCAGAGGAGGCCTTTAGCGTCCTCGCGGGGAGCTCCTCAAATGACATGACTGACAGCTCGACTCGCTCGCTCCACCTGCACCCACCCTCTGAATATTTTACTTGGTAACCGTTTTACAATCATAGCACACTGCAGATACCAAAACAGGCCAGTTAAGGACTCTCTTGAGGAGTCAGTTTGCTTCAGATAAAGTGCTGATCAGATCACCGAACTGCATCTGAAGTCACTTTTCGAATGCTGGGATTTGGAAAACTACAAGGTTTGATCCATAAGAAGATATTTTTGTAGTTTTAAGAACCAAAAACGACCTCAATGTAGTTTTACATCTCCTCTCTCAGGCTTTTCTCTGGAGCTCTAATAATAACAGGACAGTGAGCCAATCGGAAGAGAGGAGGCTCTGAGCCCATCTTCTGATTGGCTCACTGTTTTCTGAGTGATTCAACAAAAATACAGCAGATTTCAGGTAAAAACACCCAGAGAGACCAAATCCTGCAAGGTTGGATGGTGGGTTGGTGGGTCCAGGTGGGTGTGGCTTAGGGCATGGCTGAGGACAGTGACTGCTTTGTAGTGACATCACAAAGTTACAGAAGTCCTGACGGCTCATTTTGAGGCTCAGTTTCTGAATACAGGCTGTGTGCATTTCTCTGTGGACTGAGCACTTTGATACTTTCACAGTAAGAATACAGAACCTAGACCTGCTTCATAATCAACAAAGACATGGAAATCTACCTTTGTACAATATGGGACCTTTAAGTTTTTCCATGAGGACAAACCAGCAAAAAACTTGTTTGAAAAGTTAAATGAAAACTAATCCCTCACAGCCCCAGAATGCTTCAAACAAAGTGCGTGTCAGATCCTCTAACAGCATCTGAAACCCTCTCTCCAGTGTCAGAATCAGGTGATCAAGGACAATATTTGCTACTTCCTGAAACCAAAAAAATTCAACAATCATCATATACAACACACAGCCATTGACCAGGTGGGTGGATCTTCTTCTGCTCATGTTTGTTTGTACAACAAAGTACAGCAGAGTAGTGTATAACACCTCAAATGTTTTTTTGACGGGCGACTGTTAAAAAAATATCCCATTTGTAATTGCTTTTGCCTTTCAACGTTAGTTCGTTTGAAACATGTTGAAGCCTTCGCTGTCAAGGTGCAGCATCACCATTAGACAAAACCCCTTCAGCTGTAAGATGATGCGCTCTTACAGCACTGAGACAAACTAGTCCAGTGTCCAAAAGCCAGGATCTCACATCTTTAACGGTCACAGCCACTTGGACTTATTGCTCCGCTGTTCAGCTGAAAGAAATAGTCTGAATAGCTTTTAGATTGTTCTTGGGAGGGGGGGTGGGTTACTGAATGGACAATTTAATGCCAGTGGAGCCGCTGGAAGAAGTGCTGATGGTGCACCGTGATTCTCATTTTATTTAGATTAACTAGCCCTTAATACAAAGGCTTCTCATGCCTCAGTGGAGATAAAGCTCATAAAGGTGCAGCATCGAGACTGGAACTTGTTCCACGCACACATTAAGAAACAACCTGAAGGTTGGTTCATTGTGCTGCTACAGGTATTTGTTTTAACTGACACACGAGCAGATTAATTATTAAAGACATGCAGCGGTCTTCTGTTCTGTTAGCTTCAGAGCTATTGGCTGTTGTGCTGCATCGCTTCCCCCTGTGGAGATAAATCATGGACTTTCTTTCCTCCCGAGGGCACAACTGGATCTCACACATCTACGCATATTAAAACAACAGGAACAATAAAAACCAGGAGCTCTACGGGGGTTGATAGCCCGCGAACATTAGAGACGTAGCACAACTTGAGGCGGGCTGTGTTGCTCTAAATTACACGTCCTAATATATTTCATTAACACACCTCCCTCAGAGGGGTCCCTAATGGATGACAGCGTGGCATAAAAGCTTGTCTGCCAGGGACACTAATTTGTTCTTAGACGCATTCCCTTCAATTATTACTGGCTGCTGCTCCTTCATAAGCTGCTTAGATTGAGGCTGCCCCTCTTTGCAAAAAAAAAGAAAAAAAACGGCTACAAGGCGGGCCACTTAAGTTCTGTGACCTAAGTCGCCCCGCTTTTAATCCATAGTGATTTTTATCTTTAAAATCAGGTGGCCACTGAAAATAATCCTCTGAGTGACGGAAGGCATCTTATTGTTAGTTGTAGCTGAAGGAATCCAGCACCACAACAACAATAACAACAACAACAACGACGACGACGGTGGCGGCGACAAAGCATAAATGAGGCTGCCTGCTTTTGACCTTCTTGTTAGGCTCCTTCATAAATATCCCGAGGCCTAAATGCCACAGCACGGCGGCTATTTGTTTCCCTTTCTGTCAAGGTCATTTGGCCGGGGCAGAATGAGAGAGATACTGAAAAGACTGGCTGGACTTCCTCTAGACCTGTGTATTCTGCTGGTGATTGTCTTGGCTCCCTGCCAGCGAGACGGAGAGGAGAGTGTTTGAACTGAGGAGCTACTAAACTCAAGTTATTATTTAATCCCAGTGTCAACAGAATGGTGGCTATAAATTAAGAGCCTCGTAATCAATTAACAAGGATTCCAATTATTACGCCGAGGATGTTTGGCCTCAATACTTTATCCATCTTTACTGCTGTCAAATCAGCTGCTTTAATCCCATTTGCCAACACAACTATTCAGTCAGCTATGCCTAAATTGTCATTTACCTGCTTTGCATAATCAAATCATAAATACTGCCCCGGTTTATTGCCAATTTTTTTTTTTCCTTGGCGCACCTTTTGTTGTGTGAAATCCAGGATGCCCCTGACTGATTGCTAAAAGTTAATTCAACAGGAAGCAACTGTAGGAATGCTAATGAGTCAGTTTCTTTCCTGATCATTAATATAAAAATAGAAGGTGCAGGTACTCACGTTCGCACGCGTCTCCTTTCTGATGAAATCCAGCTTTGCATATACATTTCCCAATGGGCACCAGCCATTCCCCCTCGGCGCTGCAGTGCATCTTGGGAGAGTTGTCGGCCTCCTCCTCGGCGTCGCTCACGCACACGCCCTCGACCTCCACCAGCGAGGAAAACTCCGATCCCGTCACGGTGTCCGGGAACGTGGCCAGGTTCTCGATGATAGACCAACACTTCTTGTAATAAACTTTGACAGACACCAGGGCGATGCACGCCCCTACATCCTGGAAGGCCAGGTAGAAGCCCCGCCTGGACAGGGGCCCAATTATGCGCACTTCTGTGTTCAGCTTCATCTTCCTCTCGCCCAGGTCACCCTGGGTGAAGCTTTCATCTGCGGCGATTGTGTCAATTTTCACGTACTGGTTCTCCCGTAAGCTCCTGCCCACCTCTGAATCCGTCTCCTGGTAGTATAAGTTGAACGTCTCCTTGCAAGTGCCCACCACACCGGGTAGGCTGTTACAATCCCTCAAGGTGAACTTCAGTTCCACAAAAATTCTCTGAGCATCGCCCTTCTCTATCCAGTTAGTCCGAAGCCAGTTATTCTGATTGGGCTCCATGACTTGGCAAACCTGGTAGGTGCGAATGGGAGTGTAGTTCTCATCCAAGCCGCTGATTTCTTCCCACTGCAAGAAGATAACACACTTTGTAAATGAATGCACCCATTAGGGATCACGCCATGTTGAATTTATACCTAAAAGACGTCCATCTATCATTAAGTAGACGTCTAAATGATTGGCAATCAAACCAAACGGGGAGGCGATTACACTGTAATGAATATGACAAAGGTATATGAAATGCTGCAGTGAATGAAGGGAGATGAGTGGCTGCGTCTTTATTGCACAAACACATCTTTAAAGAACAACTGTGCTCAGTTTATCTGCTTCTGTCCACATTACTTATTTACGAAGTTTCTCGCAGCCTGCTTTTAATCTGGCTAGCAAGTTGGAAGTGGTTTGCTTCAGGCCTTTGTGCTCTGAATGTCAAAAGCCAGGAGAGTTCAGTGGCAGAAACGTCCTCCTGTATTCTTTATCTTGTGAGATTTTTTTTGCTGTTGAGTAAGAAATATGGGGCAGGGATCCTTGTGTATATTTCAAACCTACTTTAAATATTGTAATTCCTATCACAGATGTGGGACATCAGGATAAAACATATATACAGTATATAGATATGGGGAGTACATCTGTGTTGCTTGCTATGCAGAGATTCTGCAGACTTACCCCATTGGGAGGATAGGAGATCCACTCCAGTTCTGTCTGCTGTGCCTTGGAGTCCAGCAGAATCACTAGTGACAGGAAACCGAGAGGCAGGTGGTTAAATCTCACCGGGGCACCGGTGGCTGGGTGTTAGTGATAGGCCACACATCTATATCTATAGCGCATATACCAATGACCTAATTTCTACCAGCAGCAGCTAAAGCAAAAAAAAAAAAAATGAAATCTGAGTGTAGTAACAGACAAGCACGTTAAGATGTGGTGGGAGTCGTTACGCATACGCATTTGCGCGCGTTTAATCTACTTCTCGTGGGTTCATTTTACGCAGCAGCTCATTAAAACTCATTTTTTTTGGAAGTGGAAGTTGTTGCGTTAACGTCAAACGCGGCTGCTTCTGTATCCATCCTGCACTCACAGAACATGCGCTGCTGTATTTTCAGCTCAAAAACGGGCCATAAAACTAGTGGAGCCGTGGAAGTGGCAGCTTGTTCGCAGGTTTTTTTAACCAAGCGAAGCACGAAAAAAAAAAACAAACAGCCTGGTTTAAGTCCAGGACGCGCAAAGCGGCACCGCGGCGGCTGCTACAAACATGAAGTTGTTTTAATTTTGTGTAATATCAGCATATAGATCCAGTATCAGAGAGCGGGGGGAGAGAGGGAGAGGGGGGACAGCAGCCAGGACGCATTGCCGTAAAAAATAATTCTCCGTTACGTCTTACAGGTGACTGATATGGATGGAGGTCTGCGAAATCCCTCCTATAAACAGCGAGGATTTTCAGTTCATATCTGCGTTTACATCCACACCGCGCTCGGTTATTACGCTGTAGTTCTCACGGTGAGGAAATCAATACCTGGAGAGTGGTCTTCTGTTTTTACGCATCAGATTATTTCATTAATTTAACCACAAATCCGATCAATTAAAAGTGATAATTTGGAGTCATTACATCACCTCTTTTCTTGGTGTTTTATTATCTTGATTCTGGTCAGTTTTAGAGTCTGAGGCTTGATTACGACTCCGCATCAGCCTGCTGTATTTTTTTTGCCTCCAAGAAACGAGACCAGTCAGGACTATTGGAGCCGACGCCACTTTTGGAGGAAGTGAGCCCCCGAAGCTGCGTCCAGAGAGACGGCTCACTCACTTCGAGCGAAGCGAGCCTGCCGGAGCGATCGATCCGCTGGATATTAGTTTGTCGTGGTGGGTAATTAATCTATAACGAGCAGGGTAGCTCACTGGCACCTGAGTAAAATACATTTTTTTTTAAAAAAAAACAGCAGCTTCTGCGTCTAACCCGCGTTCTATGGCTTTTAATTGCGGTGCGTAAAAACACCGTGAGGTTGCTCGCAAACAGCCCGGGCACCGACAGCGCTGTCACCGGCCTCATCTGACTGCGCCGGGCGCATAAAACATCCACATTTTTGAAGTTATTAAAATAGCGTGGGGTTTAAAAAAAAAAAAAAAAAAAAAAAAAAAAAAAGATTTAAGAAATAATCATTTAAAAAAACAAGGACGCTGTCTGCTGGATTTGGACACATCTCTGAAGGATGTCTTCCAAACGCGGCGGGATGGAAGAAGAGTCCAAACTTTAAGAACTTACCTTCCTTCGCGTTCTGTGCTTCCCCGCTGTCCACACAGCAGCATAAATGAAGGCAAAATATAATCCACACACACGGGAAAGACCTGGAGAGCATGGTGCAGCCGCGGGTTTCACTCTAGACCGTAACTCGCTTTGCCACTGTCTCGTACGCTTCCCATTGACGACACTAAACCGGCTCTATGTACAACAATCCGCTAGTCCCCACTCAAATAGCGTCTGCTGCCGCTGGGAGGAGACTGTGGCTCCGGTGATGTCAGTCACAGACACAGGCGGAGGGAACATCCAATCGCAACCTGCAGAAGGAAACGTCACGAAAATAAGAGGGCCACTCGGCGCGCGGAGGTGGCTGGGATTTTTTTTTTTTTTTTTTTTTTTTTTTTGAGGGGTGGGGGGTGAGGGGTGGGGTGCGCGGTGGAGGAAATGTTGTCACAACTTGGATCAGATATTTTTGGTTTTCTTCAGGAAAAGGGCAAGGGACGCTCCAGTACACGAACGAAAGAACACACATATACACACACACACACACTGGAGCAGCTCTTCTGACATCAACACCGAGCTCCACACTTTCACAGTTTTTTAAAGTTTGTTTCATTTTCCAATTAAATATTTAAGTATTGATCTGTTGATTTTGAGAGTCGATCAGAAACACACAATTATATCTTTTTTTTAACACACGAGCCGCTTTCATCCAAATACCTTTTCCATCTTAAACAGGAATTTGAATATTTTTTATTTATTATTTACATATTTTAAGTGCTTGAAGTGAGAAAAAAAACATGCCGGCACAGACTGCAAAGTGCCTGACTGGAATTAATTGGTTGATATCAGTCCTGTTTTCATCTGGGAACTGATTCACCTGGTAACCTAAAGATGCACTTTAATTTAATAGTTTCATCATATGTTATTATTATCGCCATATCCCATGTTTACACCCTCCCCTTCCCCTATTAAAATCTAACACATTTACTCAGACATTTCAACGGATTTACTTTGTACTTTTATCTGAGAACATTTCAACAGTTACTTCTCCTGTAGTAAAATGTATTTTCAGTAACCGTAGTTAGTGACGTTCAGGTGACTGGTAGAGTTTATTGCTGCTCTTTTAAAACACAGTTAATGCGCTGTTTTCTTTTCTTCATCACAGTGTCTTACTACCTGTCTTACATTTAAACTTACACTAGCTCTGCTCCAGCACCCAGAGCTTTCTGCTCCTTCTAGCGACTTTCTCATTAATTCAAGTTGTTTACATGCTAGCAGATAAGCTAGTTACTTTAGCTTAGCAGTTAGCGCTAGCTTCTCTCTCGCTCTCTCTCTCTCTTGCTCAGTGTATCTTGAACAAATTAACTAGTTCATCAGAGTGAGATGTTGCTGTAGCTTCAGTGTAGAAGATTGTGATGTTTATTACTTCTTCGGTGATGTCTGCTCTCTTACCTTCGACACACAGCTGCGCTGCTAACCGTAGCCGCTCCGGTCTGTGACCATCCGCGTACACAGCAGCCTCAAGTGTGATTGGCTGTTGTTCGTGACGTATGAACAATCAGGTGGTGCTGTGGGCGGGACACCGCGACAGAAGTTTGTTGAGTTTACTGTCGGAGCTCCAGCTATTTTTATTTTTTATTTATTTTTTATTTTTTTTAACAAAAACAAATGACCCACATCCTGAAATGGAGAGGGGGGAGGACCGGCAGCTAGTGAGAAGTGCCGGTACGCAAAAAAGCGGTGCACTAAAGAGTAACATAAGGAAGTGCCGTACCGGTGCGTACCGGCCCACTTCCAGCACTGCACATTTTTACTAATAAACTTCGTTTCTGAAATCAATGAACGATTAACATGACTTTTGCATTATTTTAATTCCAGATAAGATGCAACAACTTAACACCTATGTGAACCAACAACAACACATTTGAAAATTAATTGAAAATCAACAAAAACACACTTTAGTTCCTTCAGCTTGTAAGAAGACGGAAGTCTGCCACGTCAAGGCTGTGTAGACAAAGAGAAGAAAAACTATGACTTGTTGCAGACCTTGTTTATCACTTTCCAGTGATGCTGCTCCAAATTATTTGCATCACTGTGATGGATAGAGATTAAATGAAAACTGGAGAAAGCTTTTATTTGAAGTGTCAGTATACTTAAGTAAAAGTATCACAACATTAAAGGAACTGTTTGTAAGTTTTGGTAATGCTACATAGTCAACAGTAGCGTTTACAACTGTTTGCCAGTCTTGTGGAGAGCGTAAGCCATTGTTGCATTTACAACTACAAGAGGTTATAATACATCCTCTGAGCAGCGCTACTTCTTCAGGGCAGACTGGAGGCTACAGTGACTCGGTATCGGAAAGTGACAATACAATTCAACTGTGCCAGAGCTAGCTGGTTAGCATGCTAACTTCAGTAGAACAAAAGAAGTGATAGAAATAGAAGCAAAACAAAATTGTTGCCTTCCACCGCTGGAAACTTGCAACGTTGCTTCTAGACTGGTAAGTAGACACCACAGACACCTGAAACTACACATGGTTTTCTGGTGAAGGGCCACAAGCCAAACATATTGGGAATTTTTTGTTGTTTATAAGCAAGTAGTTTATAAGAAAGTGCAACATTTTCCTCTGAAATTCAAATATAAAGTTACTTATAATATAAATATTAAAAAAAAAAAGTACAAGTATCTCAAAATACTAATATTCTTACTTCCTTTCAACTATTGCGTCTTGACAAATAGCATTTTTTTTACATTTGCACAGAATATCTCCATTGTTGTTGAGGAAACAAGTGCTTTCCTTCCATTTTCTTTTTCCTCCATTTGTAACACGTGCGTCACGCTGTCACACTTGATCGTGACACCCACTGACTTCAGGTCAGGGAAGATGTGCTCCATTCTTGCTATACTTGGTTTGGGTCATAAATGAAACCACAGTTCTCTGCTGCCACTGGAAAGGTGTAGCTTATTCACCATCAACACAAAAGAAATAGAGAATTTTTTATTTGTTTTTATAGCTCAAAATCACATTCACAAGTCAGTTCTTATCACCTTGATTTGGCTAAGAAAAACATGCAATAGGTGTCATATATACAAAGGTAGAATATGGAGGCAAATACATAATTATAATGAGCTAGTTAAAGAGTTTTGTGTCAAAGCCTTTCCATTCAGCTAACATGTGACTGTGTCTGAACATTTGAGCCACATACAGTATTTGATGGGGAGAGATTAAATGGTGTTTTCATCTGCGGAAGGTCACCTTAAGTAAGAGAAAGTCCCACTGAGACGGGCCATTCACACGACGGCACCTGATTCATTATTGCTCAGCTGCTCGAGAGACTTTGGCCATAAAGACGGAAGCAGCAGGAGTCTTAAACAACAAAGATAAACAAAAAAATACAATTAAAGAGTCTAAAGTTAATTCCCCCACTTTCTCAGATGACTTGGCATATCACTTAAAAATTAAAGCATAAAGCAGAGCTCATTATCCCTTTATACATACAGCATTTGTTGCAGGTCACTAATTAATCTCCATTACCTCCGAAACAAGCAAAACAGCTGTAATTATGGCCAACAAATATTGATTAATAAACTGTGTACATAAAAATGGACAGAAGCAGACAAGGACTCACTTCAAGGTTTATTTACCTCTACTTTTTTTTTTTTTTGTCTTTTTGTTTGTTTGTTTGGCCTGTTTATTATGCAAATTGCGACTAATCCTTTTTGCCCTTGATGCACAGTCGAATCCTGCATGGAAGTGTACAATGATTGCTGAATTAATCTGGATTAATGTTACCTTGATCGCAAACTGTCTGGATGACACTATCACGACGCCAGTGTTTGGTGCAGACTTTGTGAGAGACGGGATGTCAAGAGTGTCAATGCTTCGTTTTTCAATCAACAATCTTTTAATATGGCAGTTTTGCTTTGCTTCCAGGTGACAGGAGGTTTCCTCTTTTAAAAGATGTTTCTGAAAAGTTAAGAAGAAAGAAGTGCAGCAAACATTTTAGCGCCCTACATCCTGAGAGGATCATTCTGGATTATTACAGGAGGAGGACGTTACACAAATTGCACATAGTGAGAGTGTGTGAGAGAAAATGCTTATTCTGATGTTCTTTAGAGTCGGTATATTTAATCTTTGCTTTTAGACAAAGGGATTTTGTTTTTCCTCCACAGAATTATCTCCCAGCCAGTGAAGACAAACAGCATTTACACCCTCATGTAAGGAGATCAAATTTACAAAAAACTGAATTCTGAGATATTTTAGCGCTTAATCGAAAATTTCATCTGGATTTTTTTCACCTCTACCACCAGACATCATGTTCATTTTGAAGAATTTTACAAAACCCAATGCAAGCTTCTTTTTTTTTATGTTCAATCCCAAAATGCTTCAAGGTCCCATACAGTCTAAAGGTCTCTGTCCATGTGTAGTGTGATTATAGATCAGGTCTAGCTTCTATATTAATACTGTGAAAGTATCAAAGCCTCAGTCCACAGAGAAATGCACACAGCCTGTATTCAGAAACTGAGCCTTAAAACCAGCCGTCAGGAAACACTAAAAATGAAGCTTTCTCCAAATGTTAATGCGCTGTTATGTTTTATTTCCTTAAGTTAAAAAATAGAAACTTTTTCTTTTTTTCTAAATTAAGTTTAGCGGCAGTCCTCTTAGCAGCATACATGAAAACAAATAGAGAATTAAATCATTAAAATATATAAATATATAATAAAATATGCACATAAACATCTTCAATATAACTATAAACAATGCCATTCTTGGTAAGATTAAATCCAGTTCTTGCAGGGTACCGTGTTAATATTATCAAGTCTTCCTGTAACAAATATTCTGACCTCTGACCCACCAGAATGCTTTTGTTTCAGTATCCGTTCCTCCCTCGACTGGTTTTGCTTCCATTGTGACAAACACGGGCTCCACTTCTCCTCTTAGATTAACAGTATATAAAAGTCAAGAACAAGTTGAAGCCCAGCAAAGATGTTTGTCATTGTCATTCTCCGACCACCCTGACTATCTTAACAGAAGCTCTTAGTGTTCGACTAATGTGAGAGATCTCTCTAAATTGGAAGCTGTCTGTTTCACCTCATTGTGCCGAACCTAAGCGT